CTTTACTCGATTTCTTATGATCGGGTCTTTCAACTTCAATCCATCAACTTCTTCAAGGTAAAATTGACCAAATTCTCCAACTTCTATCACCCTATAGAGACCAACCTATCGGTAGTCTAATTTCCTAGAACACGTATCCAAGGTCAAATCATAAACCAATACTAGGTCACCGATATCAATTGGTTCTCTTTCCCGGGACCATTAATCGTGAAACTCTTTCCACTGCCATTTCAATTCATCACGATTTGTTTGCACATTTTTCAGATCACCAACCAAACCTTTTATTTGTAGGGATCGGTATTCAAGTAACTCATTAGTTGTCCATTGGCTTCTCAACACATACGTATGATAACTCTCCATCACCAATTCGATTAGCATTATTGCATCTCTTCCATAAACTAGACGAAAAGGGGAGTACCCCAGGTCACCAACAGTTGTGTTTATAGCCCAAATCGCACTTCATATGTATTCATGCCACCGATTTTGTCGTTTCACACACAACTTATGAATAATCCTAGTGAACTTTTGGTCCACACGTTCTGCGTGACCATTTGCCTCAGGATGGTAACTAGCAACAAAACATTGATCTATGTTCAAACGCAACAACAGTTCTTTTATTATTGTATTTTTAAAGTCAGTCACTCTATCCGATACTAGAGCGGTAAAGCATCCATGGTGCAAGATTATATCTTCCCAAATAAATTGGTCTATATTTTTAGCATTCTTTTTGACTAGAGCCCTTCTTTTAATATAGCTGGTCAAGTCCTCAATCGCTAACAACATGTGCTTATGCTTCGCCATGATACGGGGCAAAGGCTCTACACAATCATAAAGACCTTCTTAAAGATCCAACTTGTCACAGTTACATGTATTGATTCAGGTGGCAATTTCGTAGCACACCTTTGACACTGTTTACAGCTTGACACTATCCTTTTCATGTCTTCGTACATATTCCCTAATCTCTAAACATATTTTATCTTCACCAAGGTCAAGGTCCTATTGATACCTTGATGGCCACCTTTATTCGCTAATCCTTTATAACATGCCTTCACGATGTCTTGTTTGTTACAGTCTTCTAACACAACACGCCTTGGCGGGGCTCTTTTCTTCAATCATAGGTACAAATTTTCTCCGATTAAGTAGTAACATTTTAATTTTCTTTTCAAGTGAGGTAGGTCATGTGCATTCACATGTAGCTTCCAACTCAATTGTTGCAAGTATTGTTTTACTAGAAACAAATCATTAATTTTTTGATTTTCCAAGCCCACACAATACAACAACCCTTTAACGAAGTCATCATTGGTCTGTGTACATTGATTTGGTAAGGCAGGATATCGTGACATTCCATCTGCATTAATATATTTCTTGTCTGACTTATACCGAACCTGAAACTCGAATGATTGAAGCAGCAAAACCTACCTCATTAGTCTACCTTTCAACTCAACCTTATTGAACAACCATTCCAAAGTCTGATGGTCCACCCATACATCAAATACAGTTCCAGTCACATATCGTTCATTTATGTGACAACCAAACATGATCTCTAAACACTCCTTTTTAGTGACAATGTAATGCAACTCATGTTCATACAACTTCCTGGAATCGAACGATACGGGCTTCAAGCATCCTTCATTGTCTTCTTGCTCAAGAACTACCCCCACAGAAGTATCACAAGTGTCAGTATATATATGATACGGCTTTTGTCCATGCTTGGCAGCTTGCCAATTGGACGCTTTCAGAATGACTTCCTCACTCAATTTTTGCTTTAACAACTCGAACGCATTATTTTCTTCAGGTCTCTAATAAAACTTAATATTCTGCTTGGTCAAATTGGTCAGCGGTTTGGCGATTTTGCTAAAATTTTCGACAAATCATCAATAGTAATTCAACACACCATGAAACGACCTTACTTCTGTTACATTGCAAGAAGTTTTTCAGCTGCAAATCTTTTCAATTCTTTTTGGATTCACTTTGATACCATCCTTACTGACCACATAGCCATATATTTCGAGCTCATTATACAAGATGAAACACTTTTTCGCAGCGAAAGTCAAAACGCACTCTTAAAGACCTCAGCTAACTCGACGAATGTCTCCAAGTGTTCTTCCATGCTTTCATTTGTCCATATTTCAATATTGTTCTGGTATGCCGCAGCAACATTCTTCTATCTTTTACCATCCAGAAGCCTATCCATTAACCTTTGAAAGGTCTCACTCGCATTCTTTAGCCTATACACATAACTGTGTATCGTAGTACACCAAGAGACGTAGCTACAGCTACTTTATAAAGGTCTTTTTCACAGATATCTATTTGCCAGTATCCTTTGAACACGTCAACCTACGAAAACCAATCATGTCCAGCGGCTTGTTCCAATATGTTCTTGATTATTGGCAAGGGATAACTGTCTTTAATTATGAACTTATTCAGGAGTTTCATATTACCCACAGCCCTTATTTTGTCAGTTTCATCTTTTTTCTTTTGTACGGGAAAGCAGTGGTAGGCGTATTCACCTGATCCCTTTTCCAACAATCCACATTCGATCATTTGCCTTAAGTAGTCCGCAAATATCTTTCTTGTTTCAGGGTTGTTTATTCTAATCAGATGGAGCCTTATTGATGGTATAACCATGTCACCAGTTCTAATTTCATATTCTATGAGGTTTGTTTTGCCGATGTTTCTCAATTCGTAGATGAAAACTTCAGACACTTTATTCATTAATCAGTTAATTACAATACTTCTTATCAGTTCATTTTGAACCTTGGGTCTCAGATTGATCAAAGCACTATTCTCCATCGTTAATCTCGACACAACAAGAATGTCCTTTCTATCAATTAACCTATCGTCCTTTTCATCATTAATATCCCATTAACTGACCCAACCACTGAACACCAATTCTTGCAAACTTTCATAATTGATCGGTTTGACTTGTGTTGAACCACTTTGCCTCTATTTTTGGCTTTGTTTAAAATGGTTAGAGCTTGCGTTTCTTCATTCAATTCCTTAGGTTCTTCTACATCTATTCTTCGCACCACTATAATGTCATCCACATTGTCGAAGTCACTATCATCATCACTGTCAATTTCGTCTACATGATTATCAATTAGTACTTCGCTCACCCAACTTCTTGGCACTGTCAACACCACAAAGGAAGCGGATTTTGTAGAGGAAGTGATGTTGCATCAATACTCAGTTTCCTTAAAACCCAACGAGCATTGTGCTCTTACATTCCATGGCATGCCCAACAGAACCTCAAAGCTAGCTGTCTCCATTACATAAAAGCCTTGTCGAACTATAATACCTTCCATATCCACTTCGATGTCAGGTATATATTCCACGAATTGACTGACTCTATTATGGCTATTCATCCTCTACCACATACTTGATTCCATTCCAACCCTCTCTTTACAGCATATCTTTTCAACATGAGATTAATGCGGGAACTAGGATCGATCGAGGCTTTCACAGTATCTCTATTTATCTTGACCAACCAGACGGACACAACCTCACTTGATCTTGATTTATTTTTGTGCAAGTCACTTTGTACGATTCTTATTTTCACATTTTGATCAGAGATGGTTTCCTTTTTTCGTTGTGTCAAAGCTCTTGTTAATTCAGATCGTGCTTTGGGTAACCACTTGAACAACTAACCAAGGGTAAGTGTTATCTCCATGCCGGACAACCTTTTCAACAGATCAAGTTCGTCAGCAAGCTCAGTGAATAGTATATATATCACATTTTTACGTAACTTGGCTTGTTCGATTCCTTGTATGGGTTCTTTAATTTTTCCTCTTTTTCCCAATGGTTCGAATGATTCAGTAACTTCGTCCTTCTTTTTTCTTTTTTCAAATGCTCTTATATCACCACACTCGTCAACATCCAATAGATCTACCTTCAAATATTTTAACCAATCGTGGAACCTTTTTCTGAAAATTCTACAAGACGTACGTCAGCATTATTGAATATTATGGCCTTATTGGTCTGACTTTCACCCTTGCTTCAGTTCAGACAATTCTTTATGATATGGCCTTCTTGCCTACACATATAACATGTACGAGGTTTACTGGCTCTTTGCTGGGTCTGTTTTGATTTAGATCTTTTACGGTCTTTGTCACCACATGTTGAATCATGATCTCAATATCATTTGATTTAATTTTTCTTCTTGTTTTACATGGTTGATGCTTAATGCTGCAAGTCCATTCACGATAGCATCTAGATCTACATCCTATTTACTGAGTTGTGGGTTTTCAGGTATGTTTGAGTCCTTATGTTTCTTGAGAGTCTTGTCTCTATTGTACTCCTCCATCTCTAACGCCTTTTTCTTTGCCTTGTCATAATTTTTAGGACAGCAGTTTTCAATCTTTGTTCTATACAGTTTCTTTAAACTCTGAAGGTACCAGTCACGCTTTTTGTCATTCCTAAGTTAGATTTTTACAGCTTCAGCATCCTTCATTCTGCCTGAGGTGTCTCAAACGATTAATTTTTACTTCAGTTTCATCTTGGGCCTTGATCTTATTAATGATAGTCTTTTTTAGATCTACTCAAGTTTTTTTTGGTTTGTATTAGGTCCCTAACCCACATTCTTATACTTTCGGGCATGTGTATGTGCACTATTAGATATAGGGTGTTGTCGTCATACTTCTTAGCTTTTCTATAGCCTTCAAAATCAAAGAAAAAGTTCTCTATGTCGTCGATTTCGGCACCACAGTATACAAGTACAGTTTGATCTTTGCTTCCCATTGTTGTAACCTTATTTCTTTGATCTTGTTAACATCCTTTTCTTATACCTCTACCTTTATTCCCTATTCCCACTTATGATAATGCTGAGTATATACTTTAACAACTTTATTTGTATATCCTTTCATGGCTTGTAAAAGTGTTAGTACTTGTAATAGATATGGTCCTTGGTAGATATGTTTTATTTTGTTTATATTGGTTTATCCTTTCTGTATTATTAACCAAAGTTCTTCCCTTATTTTTTATTTATTTTTTTTTCTTTACACCTTTTTGAATTACATTGGTCACGGTCTCACAAAATTTGTTTGTTACATTGTCACCAATTTCGCTCTTTAGGGTATCACCAATTTTGTTTGTTATAGCGTCACCAATTTTGTTTATTATGGCATCACCAATTTCGTTCTTTATGAGAGATGGTGGCTTGCCCAGGTTCTTCCGTATCATGGGGATTAATTAAAGTATGTTTTTCTTTAAATTCTGGCCCAAATGGCTTGTGTCGTTTGATTATACACTCGTGGCTTCACTACATTCATTTCAGTAGTACCACCTTGCCCCTTCACTTTGCAATGTTTCCAACCTTCAATCACAAGGCACACTGCATTATTAGTTAGGCTTTTGTAGTTTTTACTTTAAAACAAAATAGTAGAAGTTGAGATTTGACTGCCAGATCGAACCTCTATTTATTTAAAATTATGTGGCTTACATCACTGATACCTTATAGTCTACAAATTAGTATTACTAATAAACTATTTAACAATGATAGACTCTTATATAGTCCTATTGTCTTGTACTATTTAACTTCATAAATGAGAACCTTATTACTAATCATTACATCGATCATCCCATATTGAATTTGATCCCTGCATATTATACTCCAGATCATCTATCCACGTGCATCCAATAATAATCCTGACAATTACTATATTAATAACATAAGTAATTTGTTTGTCTATAATTTTTTTGGTACTAGTTGCATAAGTAAGTTGTAGTGTTTCATTTTAAATTAGTTTGATTTGATTGGTATATCTATTGTCAAGTGTGAATATGCATCCAAGATATTTAAATAGTTAGTTAGTTAGAATTGAGTTTAGTGCAGAGTTGAGAAAAGATATAGAGGTTGGTTTAGAGTTTGTAGCAAAGATAGATTTAGATGGATTAATTTGAAGGTTTGCCATATGATAGAAGGATGTGGCTGTCTGAATTATTGATTCAAGTTCCTC